AGGATGACATCACCTTCAGCTTCGATTCTGCAAAGTACCAAACAGACAAGTGGTTAGAAAGATTGAGAGTTTCTCTCTCCTTGGATCCGTAGTGTTTGGTGATGGAGTCTTTCATTCGTTCACGACAGGAAAGAATGAAAAGGCATGAAGAGAAAGGAGACGTGTCTTTGGACTGGACCTCAGCGTTCCAGACACAGACACGTATTATTCATCATCGATGACTCATACGCCGGTAGGGATCATCATCGATCCAGGAAAGACCACGGTCTCCTCACTTGTCCCATACGCTGAACTGATCAATGCATTTATTCACTGACTAGAATGGATAACTCAATGGTTAACCACCCCAAGGCGGTACTGGGATCCCCAAGAAGGCACTGGGATCCCCAGTATGTCTCTGGGACCATTCCCACATCAATATATATGTCAAATCTCTGGTCCCTGACTCCCTTGGGCTGTACTTCAGAGAATGCTTCCTATTTGTCTCGTTATTGTCAATAGCATGAAAGAGGCCTTCTTGCATTACACTCCAAGCACTTTGGAAATGGAATCCATGTCCCTAGGCACCCCACCCAGACCAAGATCAGAGGATTTCTTGTGCTCACATGGGTCTGCTGGCTCCTCAACTGCAGACGCATAGATGACACCATGGATCTCCTGGTCACAGTGGAATGCGTAACTCAGCTGAACGCAACCATTCTAAGGATACAAGACAGAACAGATGACACAAAAGGTTGAGACACTAAGTTTACTGGTCCTTGCACTCCAACTTTAATTTCGTCAGTCATTTATATAAGCAATGAACTAAAATAACATATATTTTATTTTTAAGTAAGTATGATCAACCTTGCAGCTGACAGACAACATGAACATTATTACTTAGCAACATCTATGTCACTCTTACTCAAAGAACACCTTCATAGCATATATTTTCCAATAAATATTTGTTTTCACAATATACTGAGAATATCTCTCGTCTAACCAGGTATTTTTACAATTGGATAATATTTCACCTCCTTCATATTTATTTGTTTACTGATTAATTCTTTGATCCAATTATTAAAAAAATAGACTGTATGAACATAAAGACAAAAACAAGATTATTAATTATATATTTCTTTTTAGATTCTCTCACTTATCCAAATATAATAATAGAATGAGAAAGTGTCAACATGACTAAAGACATGGTCCTCACATATCCTGACATCTGTCCACAGAACACCATCAAGCAACAACAGTGGACAACCATTCTTTTCTGTTGGACCTCAGAGTTCCAGACACATATTTATTGCGTACAACTCGTACGCCACAAGTGGTCATCACTGATCCAATATTGTCCTTCCTTTTCTGCATTCCTTTCTATTTGTTGACCAAATCATTAATTCCTTAATAATAACTTCTAACAAAAACCCTAGAAGAGCCTTTACATTCCTTATCTATATATAGAATCATTCTCCCATCACTATATCTCTTTCATTAATTATCTTAAATGTCATGTATGTTGTAATCAATGAAATTGATGTGATCTATATCTATCTATCTATCTATCTATCTATCTATCTATCTATCTATCTATATATATATATATATGAATATAATGCTCCATATTAAATTCAGCAGTTACCACTGGGCTGTAATTGGCCACCTTTGACTCTATATGGAACTTTTTAAAAACATACTGACTATCCTAGAAACCCTGCTGAAACCAAGGAAAGAAATTTGACTCTTCCTCACACAGGCGTCCACGCTCCTCGCGTGGACGTGAAGTCGTGGGGCTCGTCATCGCAGAATAGTGTTGTGTCAGCTCAAACGCGTCCATTCTGACAAGTACGGGCACAAATGACAAACAAAAATTAAGGCCTTGTCTCCACTGATCTTTGCTTTCCACATTTTCTTCACTCATTTTTTTGGGTATTTATAAATTTTTCATGATGTAAATACATTTTTCTCTTAATCAAAGGAACAACCTCAAACTTGAGACTGAGCCAGAAAAAATAAATTAACTCATATTTTCCTGTGTCTATATGATCCTTAGCCAAGGAAGTGACACCCTTGCTTCATTGCTTTCTTATGGGCATCAGTGTTTTCAGTTTTATCAATATTCTTGCCTCACCATTTGAGTCTATGGTTGGATGTTTCACTCTTTTCTCTTTACCTATTATTTGTATTTCCTTAATGGTTCTACCACTGATTCATTAATAATAACACATCCAAATAGGAATTCATAATAAGAACGTGACCCTTGTGTATTCCTAACATCTGTCTACAAGAGCAAACCAAAGAGAAGGCATAGACTATTTCTTGCGATGGACCTCAGATATCCAGACATGTGTCATTCATCGTCCATGACTTATCCACCACCAGTTGTCATCATTGGTCCATTAGAGGCCCATTTTTCTTCATTCATTATATCCATTAAGTCATTGGTTCATTTAAAATAATATTATTTACAAAAACTGAAGGATAAGGTGCTTGAATATCCTTAACTTCTACTATAGAGTCATTGCAAATATAGGTTATATGTCTTTATTAATCACTCTTTTTTATAATTATTTGAAGATTTTATGGATTACCTTTAAACTGTTAAGGGTGTCATGAATCAATGTTACACATTAAATTAATAAATGTATATCATATTTATCACTAGGCCATAGTTAAATTTTTGACTACATTTACTACTTTTTAATAACACCACAAATAAGCTTGAAAATACCACAAAATTTTTGAACATTACTCACCTTGGTCTCCTTCCTAACACAAGGGGAACGTGACAATCTTGACTACAACAGAAGATGAAATCAGCTTGAGTATCCATTCTGAGGAGTACCAGGCAGAGAAGATGATAAAAGGGTTGAGACATTCTCTCCAGCGATCCATTTAGTCCACCATCCATGCACATGGTTTTTAAGGCATTTATTAACTTATTGGAATATTTATTTTTTTCTTAAACATAAACTTCAAACTTTCATCTGAATCAAGCAGAACTGACTACGACATTTCAATGTCTACATCAATCTTAGTCAAAGACAGAACACATTCGATCCTTTTATATTCATTATAATGTACATTCATATACTTCAACCTTACTACATATTTATCAAAGAAATAAACTTCATTCTATTCACCTTTATTCATTTATACATGGTGTATTCTACCATTACCATTTTTATAAATCGTTAATACTCGTGAGCACAAAAACCTAGAACAAAATCTTCGTGTATTATTGACGTCTGCGTATAGGATCCCTGCGCATGAGAGAAATGGACTAGGTCACTTTTGCACTGGCCCTCAGAGTTCCAAGCCAATAATATTCATCACATGTGACTCACAGGGCACCAGTTATCACAGGTGTCCATGATGGGCTCTTATTCTTTTCATTCTCCTAAGTATTTATTTATTGATTAGTTAAGAAATACACAAAAGTAAAAAAATAAGAATACAGTCCTTCAACAGTCCTGACATCTATTTTTACAATATTACACAGAGACTGTCTTTCATTAATTGACCTATGTATTAAATTTACGGATTAGTCAACATCATGCTTCATATCAATCCAATATTAAACGCTGACATATTTTGCCTTGTTTGATTATATTTAATGTCTTTGAAAAATGAAGCAAATAGCCTAAACAAACCACTCAAACTAAGACAAGAACTTTGGCTATTACTTACATCGGGCTCCATGCTCCTACCACGTAGAAGCAACCAGAGAGCTGGTGATCTTGGAAGAATGTTACAATCAGTTCAAGTGCGTCCATTCTGGGGGGTACAGAGCAGAGCAGATGATAAAAAAGTGAGATATTCCTCCACTGATCCTTGTTCTGCATCTTTCATTGAGGCTATCATTATTTATAGTATGTTACATTTTCTCTTAAGAAACAAACATCTTTGACCTTTCCACAGATTTAGAACATAAACAATGTCTATCATTTATCTTGTCTATATCATCTTAGCCAGGAAGTTAGTCATGTTCCATTCATGTCTCTTTGGACTTCAGTGTTGTCAAATTACATTAATTAGCATTTCTTGCCTCAAACATGTATTTTAAATTGGACAACGCTTCTACAACTCAGCTTTCTTTTTTTCTATATCTCCTCATTGATATTTCGTTGATCCAATTATAGCAAAGAATGAAAACACATGAAGAGAAAGAAGACATGTCTTTCAGTTGGACCTCAGAGTTCCAGACACAAGTTATTCGTCATCGATGACTCATACGCTGGCATAGATCATCACTGATCCAGAAAAGACCACTTTCTCTTCATTCATCCCATATTATTTATTGATTAATTCATTAATTCACTAATTATAATTTTGAAACTCTATGGTTCACAAAACACCAAGAAAGCATTGTTATCCTTAATATGTATCTAGAATCATTCTCACATCAATGTATCTCAATCATTAATTATCCTGCACTTCGTAAATCCTTCAATCTTTGTAAACCTTTCAATTAATCCTATATTCGTCACTGAGACACACTGGACTTCTTCAAGAACTTTTCACATATTTTCTTAATACAGTGACTACGCTTGAACGAACCACCCAAATCAAGACAAGAGTTTTGATTATTGCTCACATGGGTCTCCCAGCTCCTAAAGCAGGGATGTAATCCTTAGGCTCACGATGGAGGGAAGATCCTGAACCAGGTCCAGTGGGTCCATTCTGAGGAGCACAGGGCAGAGCAGACGATGAACATGGTTAAGACACTCTCTCCACTGGTCCTTGCATTTAACTTGCATCTAATCAGTCCTAAGGCAATCATACACTTGGTGTAAAAATTTTATTCTCTTAAGCAAATGAACATGTTTGAGCTTGTCAATGACCTAGAACCTGAAAATTACCTATGACTTTTACTCCCTTAGCCACACAGGTAACGGTCATATAGTAGTCACATATTTATATAATTGGACAATGCTTTTCTCATGCATCTTTACTTATTTATTTCTGTATAGAGTCTCTCATTTATGTAGTTATGATAATAAATGAAAATGCATGAACATGAAGACCAAATACAAGATCTTAGTAATTTCTGGACATCTCTCTATAGGATGCCTTCAAATAATGGAAATGGACTAGATTAATTTCATACTGGACCTCAGTCACAGACACGTATTCATCGTAAATGACTCATACGCGACCAGTAGTCATCATCGATCCAATACTGTCCCTCTTTGTCTGCACATATTTCTAATTGTCTGTTGATTAAATCAATAATTCCCTAATGATTTTTAAGCAGTAAAATTAAAATGAAAAACACAAGAGCCTTTATGCCCTAAAATTGTATAGAGAAATATTCTTACATCAATATATCTCTTCCATTATTTAAACTCAGTTTTCCATATATGCATTACTCAATACAATTTTTCATATGTCCCTTATTTAACAATGAGATACAGCTGGCGTCTTTACTTATGTTCCACACTTTTTAATCATACAGTGAATAATCTTTATAATAAAACCAACATACTGAAACCAAGAAAAGAACTTCAACTCTTACTCACATTAATCTCCCAGCTCCTATTAGGAAGTGGCAACCACACAGCTAATGACCATGGAGAATGTTCATATTATCTCAATTGTTTTCAATCTAAAGAATATACTAAAAAAAATAATAGATGTGGTCAATTTCCATTGATCCTGTTTATGGCATTTCAATTACTCAGCATTTAGCTATGTATTATTTTTCTTAATATATAATTGTATTTTATTTTTCTGTTAATCAATCAAATGTCAAACACACAACTAATTCAGTCAGTAACTAACCTATCACTGTCTTTATCACTCTTACTTAAAGACATATACACTTGAATCACTCTTCCCCATTCCAACGTATGTTAATATTTTTGCTATACATTTTAACAATGAATACTTCACCCCTTTTTATTACATTCAGTTATATATTTCTTTTTAATTCCATCATTGATTCTTTACAATAATATTTTTAAATGAGCAGGTACACAAAGACCAGGAACATTATTCTGGTACATGCCTGGTAACACTATAGGATTACTTCGAGTGGAGACAAAAGACAAGATTTCTCCTGTGTTTGGTTTTAGACCATCATTTATCTAGATTTGGCCTTAATTACCTTCATTGATAGCTACATTTTTATTGAATAATTCATCAACAACAATAAAATAAATACCTCAGGATCACAAATCTCAAGAAAAGCTTCCGAATATCTCTAATGTTTGTCTACAAAATTAGTTTTCACTGAGAATATGTATCTTTCATTCATGGATTTCAATACTTCCTATACAAACTTATAATATATAATGCTTCCTCTTAACCCCATTTTTACAATTTTCAAAGTTTGATGATTATCACATTTCACACTTTTAAAGTTTTTATTTTAATTGAAGTATAGTTGATTTACAATATTGTGTTAGTTTCTGGTATATTTCACACCTTTTAATAATGCAATTATTAAACATAAAACCAAGAAAAGAATTTTGAATATTATTCACACTGATCTCCATTCTTTTAAACCTCAGATGCAACCACAGAGATTTTGCCATGGTGAAATGCTTCTATCAGTGGAATGCAAGCATTTTAAGGGGTGTAAGGCAGAACAAATGATAAAAAAGATTGAGACAATATGCTTATTGGTCCTTGTATTCCATCATTAATTTAGTCAGTCAATTATTAAGCAGCAAATAGAGTAATGTATATTTTATTTGTTCCTGAGTAAATGAACTTTATCAATCTAGCCACTGATGGACAACACGAACATTGACTATTACTTGTCAATAACGCTCTCATCTTTAGTCAAAGAATGACACCCTCATCGTATATATTCCCCAACAAATGTCAGTGTTTTCAATACAAATTAAGACTATTCCTTAGCTGGCCACACATTTCTATAATTGAACAATATTTAACTGCTTTCATCTTTATTTATTATTTCATTGATCCAATTATAAAAAGTCAAAGAAAAAGAATAAACATAACTACCAAAAACAAAGTATATAAATCCTTGTATAATCCTGGCATGTATCTATAAAATCACCTCAACAAGACAGTGAGCCAGATTCCATTTCTGGACCTCAGAGTTTCAGGCACATATTCATCGTGAATGACTCATACGCCACCAGTGGTCATCTTCGATCCAACACTGTCCCTCTTTTTCAGCATTCAATTCTACAGTCTACTAGCAAATTCTTTATTTCACCTATAATAATTTTAAAAATCTAGTGTTCATAAGAACCAATGAAGAGTCATACACTATTCTATAAAAAGTTCATTCACATGTCAGTATCTTTTCAAAATTATAATGCTGTTTTTCATCTATGCATTATTAATATAATGTTTCATCAAACTCAATATTTATCACTGAACTACAATTGTCCTTCAATGATTCTATATGGAACTTTCAAATAACAGACTGAATGCACACACACACACATACACACACACACAAAATCACCCAAAACTAAGATAAAAAATTTGACTATTTACTCACCTTGGTCTCTGCTTCTGACACAGATGCAATCATAAGGTGCGCCTCCAGGGAACAAGGCTTAATCAGCTCAAATGTGTCCAGTTTGAGGAGTAAAGCTTAGTCAATGAGGGAAAAAAAGAGAAAATTTAAGGCAATTGATTCTTACTTTATACATTTCATTTAGTCATTTAGGAATTTACATGGAGATTTTTTTTCTCTTAACAGGAAAACTAATCTCAAACATGAGAACGATCCAGGATAACAAAACTGACTCAGTAATTCACACCTATATGATCTTTGGTCAAGAGTGACAGCATTGATTCATCTATTTTATAATGGGCTTTAGTGTTGGAAATTTTTATTAATATTTCATGCCTCAGCCTATATCTTCATAGACAACAATTTATCTTTTCTCCTTAAGCTATTATTTGTATATCTTTAATGGTTCTATCACCAATGATAATAATTTTAAATCTAATCTAAGAAATCGACCTTTATACATTCCTAACACCTGTCTATAGGATGAAATAAACAAAGAAATAGACTCGTCCACTAACCATCAGTGGTTCATCTGAGGCCCAGGTTACTTCATTCTTTTATATATTTCTTTTAATTAATCATAACTTCATTGATAAAATAAAATAAATACATAATTATCAAACCCAAAGAACAAGACATTTGAATATTCCTAACTTGTCTCTACCTAATCATTATGAAAATAGATTATGATTATATCTCTTTCATTAGTAGATATCAATGTTGTACACTATCAGTTAATCACCGTAAGGTTTCATGTCATATTTACCATTGAGCCGTGGTAAACTTTTTGATTATATTTATTACTATTAAAATATATTATAATACTGTTACATATATTAGTATAGTATAATATTCATTAATAATACTTATTCCTTTTCATAAAAACCTTAAATGAGACAAACCAAGACACTCTGAGCACTACTCACTTTGTTCTCTGTCCTATAAGCATAGAACATGGTAACCTTGATCACAACGGAGGCTGACATAACCTTGAGCTCCTCTTTTGCAAAGTACCAAACAGAAAAGGTGATAAAGAGATTGAGATTTTTCCTTTTCATTGATCCACATATGTGCTTATTCATTCTTTCATTAGTTCAATTATAATAAAGAATGAAAATGCATGAAGAGAAAGAAGACGTGTCTTTTGATTGGACCTCAGAGTTCCAGACACATATTATTCGTCATCGATGACTCATACGCTGGCATAGATCATCACTGATCCAGAAAAGACCACTTTCTCTTCATTCATCCCATATTATTTATTGATGAATTCATTAATACCCTAAATACAATTTTAAAACTGTATGATTCACAAAACCCCAAGAGGTCACTGCTATACCTAATATGTATTTAGAATCATTCTCAAATCAATGTACCTCTGTCATTAATTATTCCACTTTTCATAAATGCTTTAATCATTGTAATGCTTCCCATTAATACCATATTGGTCACCAGGACACAGTTTGGCTTATTTTTCACACTATTTCTTAATATAGTGAAAACCCTTAAACAAAACACCCAAACCAAAGGATGAACTTTGATTATTACTCACAGTGGCCTCTGGGCTCCTGAAAAAGGAAGATCCTGAAACCAGGTCCAGTGTGTCCATTCTGAGGAGCACAGGGCAGAGCAGATGATGAACAGGGTTGAGACATTCTGTCCACTGATCCTTGCATTTAACCTTTTATTTAATCAGTCCTTAAGCAATCATTAATTGGGCGTAAATTTTTTTTCTCTTAGGAAATGAGCACGTTTGATCATGCCACTAGCCTAGCATCTGAATATTATCCGTGACTTTTACTCCCCTGGCTACACAGGTGACAGTCATAACATTCATACCTTTATACAACTGAACAGTGCTTCACTCATTCATCTTTACTTATTTACCTATTTATTCATAGATTCTCTCATTTATCCAATTATAATAATAGATGAAAATGCATGACAAAAAAGAGCAAATATAAGATAATATATTCTTGACATTTGTCTATTGAATGTCTTCAATAATGGAAATGGACTAGTTTAATTTTGTTTGCTGTTGGACCTCAGAGTTGCAGACAAGTATTCATCGCCAACGACTCATACGCCACCAGCAGTCATCATCGATCTAATATTGTCCCTTTTTTTCTTCATTCATCTGCATGTTTATTGACTAACTCATTAATTAACTACTAATAATTTATTAAAATTATTATTTGCGAAACTCAAGAAGATTTATGATATCCCTATTCTGAAAGTAGTTCATTTTCACATCAATGTATCTCTTTTATGAATTATAATGCTGTTGCTCATCTATGCATTAATCAATACAATGTTTCATAAAATTCTACATTTATCACTGAGCTACAGTTTGCCTTCTGCGATTCTACATGAAATGTTCAAATAATATAATGAATATAAATGCACACACAAAAAAACCAACGAAACTAGGACAAGAAATTTGACTATTACTCACATTGGTCTCTGTGATTCTAGCAAAGAGATTCAATCACAAGGTACAACACTGTGGAATAATACTTAATCAGCTCAAATGTGTTCACATTGAGAATTATAAAGCACAGTTGATGATAAAAAGATAAAAGGGAAGAAAAATGTATCACCATTGATTTTTGATTTCCACTTTTCATTTATCTCATTTAAGAATTTATAACTTTCATATTGTAGAGATTATTCTCTTCATAGAAAGAATGACCTCAAACTCAAGATTACTCAGAACAATAAAACTGAAACCTAATTGGTCATGTCCATCTGATATTTGTCTAAAGAGGTGACACCCTTGATTGGTGTATTTCATGATGGGCATCAGAGTTGGCAACTTTTAATTAATATTTCGTGCCTCACCATAGATGTTCATAATTACACAATAATTTATCTATTCTTATAATCTATTATTTATATATCTTTAATGGTGCTATCATTGAGCTAGTAATGATTTCAAATCTAAGTCTAAGAACGTAAACTTTCTACATTCCTAACTTCTATCCATAGAATAAAATAAACTACGAAACAGAGTACTTATTGTATTGGACCTCAGGGTTCAAGATACTTATTATTCAGTCATACCTGCTAATCATCATTGGCTCATTTAAGGCCCACTTTTACTTCTTTCTTTTATATATTTGTATCAATTAAATTATTACTTCATTGATAATAATAAAATAAATATGTGACTAAGAAAAACCAAAGAGCAAGACACTTGAGTATTCCTAACTTCTCTGTACTCACTAACAAAACAGATTATATCACTTTCATTAATAAATATCAATGTTATTGACTATTAATTAATCAACATAAGGTATCGTATCATATTTAGCTTTCGGGCATAGCTAACCTTTCAACTGTACTTATCACTTTCTAATAATAAATACTATGAGAACCCTTAAACAAATGATCCAAACCAAGACAAGCCCTTCGATCACTCCTCACCTTGGTCTCCATCCAAGAACGAGACCCTTAGAACCCTGACCACAGTGGAGGATGACATCACCTTCAGCTTTGACTCTGCAAAGTACCAAACAGACAAGGGGATAGAAAGATTGAGACTTTCTCTCTCCATGGATCCATAGTATTTGGTGATGGAATCTTTCATTCTTTCCATGATAGGAAAGAAATGAAAATGCATGAAGAGAAAGAAAATATGTCTTTGGATTGGACCTCAGCGTTCCAGACACACACACGTATTATTCATCATCAGTGACTCATACGACGGCAGGGATCATCACTGATCCAAAAAAGACTACTTTCTCTTCATTTCTCTATATTGTTGATTCGTTAATTCATTAATTCACAAATTACAATTTTAAAACTATGTGATTCACAAAACCCCACGAAGGCATTATTATCTCAATTATGTACATAAAACCACTCTCACTACACTGTACCTCCGTCAATAATTAGCCTGCTGTTTATAAATCCTTCAATCAATTTAGTTTTTCTATTAGTCGCATGTTTGTCACCAGGACACAGCTGGGCTTAGTAGATTTCATACTTTCTAGTAATACACTGACTACCCTTAAACAAAACATCCAGGTCAGGAAAAAAACCTTCATTACTCACCGTGGCCTCTGGGCTCCTAAAACACTGAGGAAACCCTAAGGCTCAGAGTTGAGGGAAGATCCTGAAACGTGGTCCAGCGGGTCCATTCTGAGGAGCACAGGGCAGAGCAGATGATAAAAATGGTTAAGACACTCTCTCCACTGGTCCTTGCATTTAACCTTTTATTTAATCAGGCAATCATTAACTTTATGTAAATATTTTTCTCTTAAGAAAATGAACAAATTTGATCTTGCCACTGACCCAGAATCAGAACATGTTCCATAACCTTTACTTTTTAATCACATAGGGAACAGTCATAATATTCACATATTGTTTAATAATTGGACAATGCTTCACTCATTCATCTTATTGAAATATTTATAGATTCTCTCATTTAGCCAATTATAATAATAGATGAAAATGCATGAACATTAAGACCAACTACAAGATTTTAGTATATCCTTGGAATCTGTCCAAAGGATGTCCTCAAATACTGAAAGTGGACAAGGTTAATGTTACATCGGACCTCAGAGTTGCAGAAACGTATTCATCGTACATGACTCGTACTCGAGCAGTGGTCATCATCGATCCAGTCCTGTCCCTCTTTTTCTATATATATTTCTGTTTTTTACGGATAAATCTGTAATCGACTAATAATTTTAAACAGTCCAATTTGAAAAAGCAAAGGGGGCCCTGATGTCCTGAATCTTTATAAAGAATTATTCTTACATCAATTAATCTCTTTCTTTCTTTAAACTCAATTTTCCATATATACATTAATCAATACAATTTTTCATATATCCCATATCTAGCAATGAGATACAACTGCCTTCACTACTTACACTCCACACCTTTTAATAATACAGCAAATAACCTTTGAAAACATGCTGAAACCAAGGAAAGAATTACATCTCTTACTCACAATTAGTCTCCCAGCTTCTCTAAGGAGTGGAAACCACTCAGTTTGTGACCATGGGAGATGCTTAAATCATCTCAAGAGTTTTCATTCTGAAGAGTATAGAGAGGAACAGATGAATTTCTTAAAAACTGAGGGAAATTCCCATTGATCCTGCTTACTGCTTTTCATTTACTCAGTATTTAGGTATTTATTATTTTTCTTAATATATAATTTTTACCTTAACAAACAAAAAAAAACCCTCAATCTTTAGACCTGCCTTGAATAATCATATTTACTCTTACTTATACATTGATCAAAGACTTGATTTCATGATCTATTTATCTCTTAATGGTCATCAGTCTTTCTTATTTTATTAATGATATCCTTCATCCCACCTTATATGTTTATAGATGGGCAACACTTCAGCACCATCTTGTAACATACTTCTTTATATTTGTTTAAAGGTTCTATCGTTATTCCAAAAATAAAACCTTATCTACATCAGTGAAATCAATACAAGATATGATGCTTTTCTAGTCCTCACATCTCTCCACAGAAGCAACTCCCCCTGAGGGAACAGGCTGGTTCTGTTCGGTGCTGGACCTCCAAGATCCCAACTGAGGTCTTCATCATCCGTGACTCTCCCCTCACCAGCTGTCCTCATTAGTTCATACTTGAATCTGCATTTCTTCCTTTGTTTCTACACTTACCTCAATCAAATTATTCATTCATTCACAATAATAAAGTGATTCACAAAAAACCAACAACTGAAGACACACAGATGGCCAACAGACACATGGAAAGGTGCTCAACATCACTAATCCGAGAAATGCAAATCAAACCACGAGATGCATCACCTCACGCCTTTTAGACTTGCTATTACCAAAAAGACAAGAAACCACTTTTGGCGAGGATGTGGAGAAAAGGAAATCTATATACGTTGTCAGTGGAAAATATAAATTGGTCCAACCACTATAGAAAACAGCGCAGAGGGTCCTCAAAAAATTAAAACTGAACTGACATGGGACCCAGCAATTCCACTGCTGGTATTTACCCAAAGAAAATGAAAACTCTAAATCAAAATGCTACCTGCATCCCAATGTTCACTACAGCATTACATACAACAGCCAAGACATGTTAACAACTTGGTAATCCATGGTGTCCACTGATAGATGAATGGATAAAGAAAAGGTGGTCTATTTCTACAATGGAATATTATCAGCCATTAAAAAGGGGGATATCTGGCCATTTGTGACCACATGGATGGAACTGTAGGGTATTCTGCTAAATGAAATGTCAAACAAGAAAGGTAAATACTGTATTATCTCACTTATGTGGAATTTACCAAAAAAAAGAGAAAAGAAAGAAAAACAGAGATGGAGAGGGATAAGGGAAGGAAGGAAGAAAAGGAAGGATGGAGGGGAAAAGGAAGAAAGAAAGGCACTTAGAGCTCTTAGCTGCAGAAAACAGATTTTGGTTGCCAGAGGTGGGGTCTATGGGGTGGACAGTTGAGTTAAGAAGATCAAAAGGTACTAATTTCCAGTTATAAAATAAGTAAGCCATGGGGATATAGTATCCAGAATGGCGACTGTGGTTAAGTCTGTACCGCATATTTAAAAGTTGGTAAGAGAGTAAATCTTTAAAAGTTCTCATCACAAGAAAAAAATATTTGTTACTATCTAAGATGACAGATGTCAAAAGTCTTACTGAAGTGAGAATCATGTTGAATCATTACGGTAAACACATGAAGCTGATATAACACAAAGTCTTCAATCTTGCACATTATTGATTTAAGCAGCATAATGCTTCATTTCATATTTATCATTGTGCCATGGTTAACTTTAACATTAGTTAATACCTTTTAACAATAGAGTAAATATTCTTAAACAAGGGGCTCATTCCAAGACAACCACTTTGACCATTACTCACCTGGTCTCTCCAGACACAAAAGGTATGTGACACTCCTCAGATGAAAGAACTTCAAATCACCTCAAGTATAAAATCTAAAGGGTACCAAGCAGACAGACAGTCAAGATACTGAGATACCCTCTCTGTTGATGCACATTAAACCATTCATTTTCCCAGTCATTCAGACATTTACTAATTCATTGTAACACTTCTTTCTTTCTCTTAATGAATCAAATGTCAAACGCGTAACTAATACAGTCAGTAACTAACTTATCACTGTCTATATCACTCTTACTCAAAGACACATGCACTTGAAGCTTTTGCTTTTCATTCCAACATTTTTTCATTCCAATATTTTTGTTATGTAATTTAACAATGAATGCTTCATCTATTTTAGTTACATTCAGTTATATATTTCTTTTTCATCCTGTCATTGATTCTTTATAATAATATTTTTAAGTTACCAGGTACACAAAGACCAAGTACACTGCTCTCCTACACAGCTGATACCTCTGTGGGATCACTTCACTCCTACAGAGCCTATAAAGCTATCTGTAGGATAGGAAAAGATGACTGACGGGATGAGGTTTCTCTTGTGTTTGACCACAGACCATCATTTATCCAGGTCTGGCCCTCATTATCTTAATTGATATCTACGTTTTTATTGATAAATTCATCACGTCATTACTGACAATAAAACAAATGCCTCGGGAATCACAAAACCCAAGAAAAGCTCCTTGATTATCTCAAATGTTTATCTACAGAATTATCTCTCACTTTAAATATATATCTTTCATTAACTGATTTCAATATTTCCTATGCTTCCTCCTAACCCCATTTTTAATGTTTTCATAGTTTGATGATCAGGGTATTTCACACTTTTTAATAATGCACTGAAAACCTTTTTAAAAATCACAAAATCTAGAAAAGAATTTTGAATATTACTCACACTAGTCTCCAAGCTTTTAAACCACAGGTGCAACCACAGAGCTTGTCACAATACCAGAACGCTAACATCAGCCGAATGAAACCATTCTAAGGAGTCCAAGGCAGAGCAAATGATAAAAACAGATTGAGACATTATGCTCACTGGTCCTTTCATGCCACCGTTTATTTAGGTGCTTATTTATTAAGCAGCGAACTGAAATAATATATATTTTATTTTCTCTTAAGTAAATGAACAATGTCAATCTTGCCACTGATAGACAAAATGAACACTATTACTTATCAGTAACTCTCTCATCCTTAGTCGAAGAATGACAACCTTGTCCTATGTATTCCCTGACAGATGTCAGTGTTTTCAAGATACATTAAGACTATTCCTTGCCTACCCACAAATTTGTATAATTCTACAATATTTCACTGCCTTCATCTTTATTTATTGGTGTTACTTTATTATTTCATTGATCGAATTACAAAAAAATGAAAAGAAAAAGCATGAACATAACAAACAAAAACAAAATATATGTATCTCCTTGGTGTACTCCTGACATGAACCTATGAAATCACCTCAGACAGGACAATGGACCAGATTCTACTTCTGTTCAACCTCAGAGTTCCAGACACATATTGAACATACACAGCTAATACACCACAGTAGTCATCATCGATCCAATATTGTCCCTTATTTCCTTCATTCATTTCTACACTTTTATTGACTAACTCAGTAATTCACTAATAATTTGAAACTCTGTTGTTCACAAACCCAAGAAGAGTCATGATACGCGCACTCTGTACATAGATCATTCACACATCAATGTATCTTCTTGAAAATTATGATGCTGTGTTTCATCTATGCGTTAATCAATATAATGTTTCATAAAACTGAATATTTATCACTGAGCTACAGTTATCCTCTGGGATTCCACAGGAAATTTTCAAATACTACCCTGAACACACAAACAAAATAAAATCACAGCAACTAAGAAAAGAAATTGGACTGTTATTATCTATTATTATTATTGTGTTTCTAAGACAGAGATGCAATCATAAGGCACACCTCCATGGAATGATTCTTAATCAGCTCAAATGTGTCCATTTTCAGCATTACAAAGCACAGATGATGAAAAAGAAAAAGAAAATTTACCCCATTGTCTCCTACTTTCTAACTTTCATTTACTCAGTCATTGGAAATTTATAACTTTTGCACAATGTAAAGACTTTTTTTCTTAAAGAAAGAACAACCTCAAAATTGAGACTGACCAAGAATAATTAATTGGATCTTTATTTTTCATATCTATATATCCTTAACCAAAGAGGTAACATCCTTGATGAATTTCATAATGGGCATCAGTGTTTGCAATTTTTATTACCTTCTTGCTCACCATAGATGTTCATAGGTAGACAACAATTTGCCTTTTCCTTTTCTTGTTATTTATATATCATTAATGGTTCTATCATTCATCCATAAATAATATTAAATATAAATTTACTAACTCAAAATAAAAGAATGATCTCTATACATTCCTAATATCTCTATACAGAATCAAATAAAGAGAATAGAGTATATACCGTGTTGGACCTCGGGGTTACCGACAAATTATTCAGACCCCAAGACTCATGTTCTAAAAATCATTAGTTTATTTGAGTCCAAATTCAGTTCATTCATTTATATACTTGTATCAATTAAATCATTACTTTATTGATAATAATAACATAAATACATGATTAACAAAAATCAAAGAACAAGACACTGACTATGCCAAACTTCTCCCTAATCATTACCAAAACTGATGGTATCTCTTTCATGAATCAACATCAAACTTCTCTGTCACCACTTACTCAACATAAGGTTTCATATCATATGCATCAGTGGGGCATAACTGCCCTTTTGCTTATTTTCTTTACTTTAAAAATACTTTGAAAACCCATGAACACATGACCCAAACCAAGACAAACACTTGGACCCCTCCTCACCTTGGTCTCTGACCTCTGACCCCAAGACCCTCAGAACCTTGATCACAGTGGAGGATGACATCACCTTCAGCTTCGATTCTGCAAAGTACCAAACAGACAAGGGGATAGAAAGATTGAGACTTCCTCTCTCCAAGGATCCATATATATTGGCTTATTGATTCTTTGCTTGGTTCAGTTATAATAAAGGATGAAAATGCATGAAGAGAAAGAGGACAATTCTGTAGTTGGACCTTAGAGTTCCAGACATGAATTATTCGTCATTGATGACTCATATGCTGGCATAGGTCATCATCGATCCAGAAAAGACTACCTGCTCTTCATTCATCCCATATTATTTATTGATTAATTTATTAATACACTAATTACAATTTTAAAAGTGTATGATTCACAGAACCCCAAGAAGCCACTGTTATCCCTAATACATATCTTGACTCATTCTCACATCTTGTGTCTCTGTCATTAATTATCCCACTTTTCATAAATGCTTTAACCATTGTAATGCTTCCCATTAATCTCATATTTATCACTGGGACACAGTTTGACTTCTTTTGAGTATTTTTAATACATTTTCTTAATGCAATGAATACCCTTCAACAAATCACCCAAACCAAGACAAGAACTTTGATTATTGCTCACATTGGCCTCTGGGCTCCTAAAACAGAGACGTAATCCAAAGGTTCACGATCAAGAAAAGATCCTGAAATGAAGTCCAGCATGTATTCTGAGGCGTATACAGAGCAGAAAAGATGGTAAAAATGGTTGAGATATTTTCTCTCCTGAACCTTGTATTTAACCTTTTATTTAAGCAGCTCCTAGGTAATAGTTAATTTGGTGTAATATAATTTTTCTCCTAAGAAAATGAACAAGAGTGATCTTGCCACTGACTCAGAATGTGAACATTAGCCATGACTTTTACTCTTTTAGCAACACAGGTAATATATATACCATGTCGTGGTTTATATAATTACACAGTGCTTCACTCATTCATCTTAACTTATTTACATATTGATTTATAGAGTCTATCATTTATCCAATTACATTAACAAGTGAATATGCACAACAATAAAGGCTGAATACAAATCTTAGTATATTCCTGATATCTGTCTTTAGGGTGGCTTTAAATAATGGGAAGGGACTAGATTAATTTTATAATGGATCTCCAAGCTCGAGACATGTATTCATAGTATACGACTCATACGCGACCAGCAGTCACCATCAATCCAATACTGTCCCTCACTTGCTTCATTCATTTCTACGTTGTTGATTCATGAATTCTTTATTGCACTAGTAACAATTTTAGAATCCTACCATTCACAAAACCCAAGAAGAGTCATTATATCCCTATTCTGTAAATAGATCATTCTCATGTCTATGTATCTCTTTGTAAAATTGTGATGCTATTTTACAAATATGCATTAATCAATTAATATTTGATAAACTATCACTAAATTACAGTTTTCCTTCTGTGATTCTATATGAATGTTCAAATAATACACTGACTGCAACAAACACAAACAAATATCACCAAATCCAAGATAAGAAAATTGACGATTGTTCACATTGGTCTCCATGCTTCTTCTAACACACAGACGCAATTATCAGGTGCACCACCATGGAAAAATACTTAATCAGCTGGAATGTGTCGAGTTGGAGGAGTACAAAGTGCAGCAAATGAGGGGAAAAAAGAGAAAGGAAAATTCATCCCTATTGATTCTTGCTTTCTACATTTCATTTACTTAGTCATTAGGAACTTACAACGTTTTCATATGTAGAGAGAACAAACTCAAACTTCAAAATGACCCAGAAGAATTAATGGAGTCTTAATTATTGTTGTCCACATGATTCTTGGCCAATAAGGGACATCTCTGATTCATTTATTGCATAATGGGTATCAGTGTTGACAATTTTTATTAGTACTTTTTATCTGATCATAGAAATACATAGGTAGATAATGATTTATCATTTCTTCAATATTTATTATTTACATATGTTTAAAGGTTCTTTCATTGGACCATTAATAATATTAAATCTAAATTTAAAAACCAAAATAAGAATATGATCTTTATATATTTCTAACATCTGTCCATAGGATCAAAAAAGAGAACAGATAGTGTATATTATGTTGTTGCTCAGGGTTCTGGACACACTAGTCACTGTCGATGAGTCATTAGGTAATCATCATTTGAGGTCACCTTTAGCTCATTCATTTATATAGTTGTATCAATTAACTCATTATTTTATTGACAATAATAATAACATAAACACATGATGAACAAAAAACAAAAAGCAAGACACTGACTATCCCAAATTTCTCTCTAATCATTACAAAAATAGATCACATGTCTCTTAAAAATAAATACCAATGTTGTTGAATATCAATTAATCAAAATAAAGTTTCATATCATATTTATCTTTAGGCCATAGTTAAAATCTTTTTTATTAAATTTATTACTTTTTAATAATATGGTGAAAACTCTTAAACATATGTTCCAAACCAAGACAAAACTTTTGGCCATGACTCACCTTGGTCTCTGTCACAAAACAACATGATCACAATGAAGGGTGAAATCACCAAGAGCTCCTACTCCGTAAAATACCAGAGAAGGTGACAAAAAGATTGAGATTTTCTCTCTCCATGGATGCACAGTGTTTGGTGATGAAGTCTTTCATTCGTTCCATGGCAGGAAAGAATGAAAAGGCATGAAGAGAATGAAGACATGTCTTTTGGATTGGACCTCAGCGTTCCAGACACAGACACGTATTATTCATCATCGATGACTCATACGTCGGTAGGGATCATCATCGATCCAGGAAAGACCACGGTCTCCTCACTCGTCCCATACGCTGAAATGATCAATTAATAAATAGATTCACTCACTAGAGTGGATAACTCAATGACTCACCACACCAAGAAGGCACTGGCATCCCCAACATTTCTCTGGGACCATTCCCACATCAATATATATCAAATATAAATATATATATTCACATCCCTTCTCCCTGTCTCCCTTGGGCTGTAATCCAGACAATGCTTCCTTTTTGTCTCCTTATTGTCAATAGCATGAAAGAGGCCTTGCTGCATTACACTCCAAGCACTGTGGAGATGGAGTCCATGTCCCTGGGCGCCCCATCCAGACCAAGATCAGAGGACTGACTGTGCTCACGCGAGTCTGCTGGCTCCTCAACTGCAGATTGAACCTTAGGCTGCTGATCCAGGAGGACTCCTTCATTCAGGTCCAGGGTGGCCATTCTGAGGGCTAGGAAGCCAAGCAGATGACAAAAATGATCAAACCAAGACCAAAAATTAGCCCCTCTTTCATGCTTGACATCTGTCTGCAAGATGCCTTCTCGCACGGAGAATGGCCTGGG